AAATGTGTCACCCGCATCCGGCAACTCACTCGTAGTTCGTCGAGTGTCGTCAGGTAGAAAATAGCTGTGTTAATTTGAATAGAATGTGTTGTTCCTTGTCAGATTAAACCTAGAATTTTGGAGTTAAGTATTAAAAGAGGTCAAAGCAACTTCAGCATGGTCTTTATCTTTGTTAGCTGCGAACAAAAAGACTATTACTGTCTCGTTTCGGTATAGGACAGTTCAGTCACCGTATCAAAGGTTAGGCGCCGGTATGCATACCAAGAAAATGCAAGTGACTTATAGGATATTCCATAGTATACCACGAAAGAGAGTGTTGTATGACTATTTTATACCATACCATGGAAAATACTGAATGCGAGATACGCGTGGCGCGCGATGGGAAGGTTGGGTGTAATACCGTCGAATATACAACGGCTTTCCAGTATTCTTATTGGCTGTATTTTCTATGGCACGGCATAAGTCGCCTCAAAATCCATCAAATATTTTCGCTCGCGCGCGATTGGTCTAGACGCGTCACGTGACCCAATATTCCCCGGCTAAAACTGGGGAATATGTAAAAAATAAACCAGGACTAAATTGCCCTTTTCAGATTTCTGTGGGAAGTGCATGCCCAGAAAAACCTTGTACCAACCAATGTTGCAGCCAGAATCCGTGTCTTCATGGAGGATCCTGTACGGAGTTGTGCGAGCATCCCAAACACAAGTTTAGATGCATCTGCATAGGGGAATACTTCGGTAGATTTTGTCAGAAGCGGAAAGCACGATCCTGCAAGGAGCAACTTGAAATGGACACGGCAGCCTCGTCTGGAGTGTATGCTTTATTTGATCCGACGAACATCTCTATCTACAAAACCTTCTGTGATTTTAAATCTGAAAATAACTCTGTTTGGACTCTTGTCGAGTCATTCAGCATGGCTAATAACCACGAGTTTGCCAATTCACCATTTTATTTGGACAACCCCGACAAGAAAAAAGCCTTCAGTTGGAATAAGTTCCGTTTAACGCTATCCCGGATGGACATGATTGCCAATCACTCCACTCACTTTCGAGCCACATGCAATTTTAATACCGATGGTCTCATTTACATCGATTATTTAAGAGCAAAATTTACTGAAATCGATGTGATGCAGTTAAAATTCGACAGATGTAAGAAATACGAATACATCAACATCCGCGGCTATGGTTGCAAAAATTGTACCGCCCACTTTGTTCAACAAGATTATTGGCACGCACATGTTGATTCATATTATGGATCGTCTAAAGGATGTCAGCTGAAAAGTCCCCTAACAGGAGCTGTGAAAGAACCAGCAGGGGAAGATAATTTCGGTTATTACGCAACAGTGAACCCTGTACATAGGTGCTCATCAAGTCGTGATTCTACGACGCAGTGGTGGTTCGGAGAGCAATTAGAGTAAAGTTTACATTCCTAAGAGCAACTCTCTGTAACTTTGAAGAACTTGACGACAGAATTTCTTTTATGCGTCAAAAAGACTCTTTTTGTGAACTGTTTTACCAAACATTACATACACAGTAATTTACACTTTGATCATCATCATCAACTTGAAGTAAAAACGTTTGCCGCGCACGGTTTGAAAAGTACAAATAAGAAAACTCAATTTAGAAACCAAATTTCTACTTATTTGAGAGGGCCATAACTCTTTTAGTATACGAATATCTCGCCAAATAAGACCTATGATACCGTTATAGGATATCTAAAATGGTTTGGTTGGCCTGTGAAAATTAAGCGCGCTGGAAGAAAAACTAGGAAGGGCATTTTGACCAATTCCGCTACTTTTAGACGGCCGAGCGAAAATTGCATGGCGTGACACTTGCGTCTCCGGGCGTCGTTCCGGGTACACGTACAATTTATCTGTTCACTCGGGATTGTTCCCTCTTTTTTTAAAGAAAAAAATTAGAGAACTAATATCAAGAGATAACCAACGAAGAAGAAACGATGCTTTTTCTTCATTTATTCACCAAGGTTGCTAAAATTTGAATAAAGGACCGATCGTTTTACCTTGAAGGCCGACATTTTGCCGAAATTTTCTGCTCGGTCCGATTTCTAGAGCTTTGTCATCTATAACCAAGGCTTATTCTAAGGTATATTTAAGTTATTACACCGATAAATGATCAAAGCAAAATGCTCAGTTTTGCATAAATTCCATCGAGTGGTGCTTCGAACATTCTTAGATTTCACCAAAATGTGAATTCGCTTGAACCTTTAAAGCTTAATTTCTGAAAATAGCTCATTAAAAGGGCATTTTTGACGTAATAAAAGAAAGTTCGAATTTTCGGTCGTGCCGCCATATTTACAGTAAATTTTTGAACGTAGTAACCCTCCCAAACTAATGGTCATCCAAAAACTGAATGGCGACTTGAACATAGTTTGACTTGTTATGAGAAAAAACGGAAATAACAACTACAACAGGTCCGGCCAAAATATTCTGATATTTGTCTAAGGTTTTAATATAACTCTTATATTACTCTCGTTGTTTTGAATAATCTCAAACTACACAACACGAAAGCAGTAAAAAACATTTTTATTCAAGAAAAATTTATGCTTCGGTTAACTCTTAATCTCGGGATAGCGTTAACTAGCTTCCGCACAACCCCGCCCAGATTATAGCAATTTAACCTGACACGAGCCCGTCATCAAGCCAAAAACTAGCACTTGGTCAGCGATCAACTTGGAAAAACTCGATCTCGATAAGCTCTAAACTTGAGCTCGCGATATGGACACGTGATACTGGTAAGCGGATACTTTGTTTGACAGGTGTCAATTGACCATAACATGGAAGTCCAATTATCATTCTCAATTCATCAAGTTAAAGCAAAGAAAATTAGCATAGATTTTGTCGATTTTTCTTCTCCGTTTACTCGGTAGTTTATGTTTCGATCGAGAAGATATATCAAACGCTCGAGACAGTGTTTCATCGACTATCTAAACACCTCGAATTTCGTCAAAAATACTCCTCTGCGCGTCGTATTTTCAACTTTCTTCTCGGTGTTTGGACATCCCGATGAAACACCGTCACTCTCACGGTGTTTGATATATTACAAGAAGTACGCTATAAATCAAGGCTGCATGTCTCTGTCAACCTATGAGCTGGAGTATGACCGCCATCTTGAGCGACTCCGCCGTCAACGCCACCACCGCCGCCGTCGATTATGATTAGATTATGAGCTCGACGGAAATTTCTATCGCGTGATAGCTGACGTCAACTATCACGCATAGAAATCGAGGGCGAATAATCTAATTGTTTTGGTATAATTCTACTAGTCGTTCAAAACTTTATCTAAATCCTCTTCACAGACACTTCGAAAACGTGAAGAAGCGGCCGTCATTTTGCTAACAAGGACACACTACTACGCTACTCACTATCTATTACAGAATAGATTTTGAGTAGCGTAGCCAACTGTACTTCTATCTTATACAGTTCTAAATAAACTGATCACTCGTGATCTCCCCTACGTTATCTGTTTCCGTCAGGTTGGGCCTGTTATTAATTAGTGCAGAACTCCCCATGCAATGGGGAACAAGATATTTCACACTTTTTCAGCCCAGGAGCATTAATTGGGTACTAAACGACTTGTCGGAGAAGTACTGGAAAGCTAGCAATGATGCCACGAACTAGTTTGATTCTGGAGTAGCAGCTCAAGCCCGACTTTTTCAGGCACCGTGCTCAACAAGCTCTACTTGTATTTGAATTTTGTTAAGGGAAGGCTTGACTGACGTAAATAAAAGAGAACTAGATCTCAGGCAGGCCCTAGATGAAAAAAAGATAATCACTGATTTCTTTGTTAACCTTGGTTTTGTAGATGTAATGTGTTTCCTGTTTCCTGACGACAACAGTGAATCGGAGGAAGAGTGCGAATCGAGTTGAAAACAAGACCATTAAGATTGTATAAAGACAAAATTTGAGCAATAACCACCAAGTCCGTGCCTGAGAACTCTTAAAATCAATACGCTGAATAGTGTCCTTTCATAATCTAGAATCATGGATAATAGAAGAGACTGGGTCTCTTCTATTATCCACGCTAGAATTAATTTCGCGTGTTTAATTTTCGCGCGCTCTTCTTTTCGCAAGTATTAATTTTCGGAATTTTTTTCCAAAACGCGAAAGTCAAGAAATTTTTACTTGCGAAAATTAGTAAAAATAAGTTAATCTACCAGGACAAGAGAAAATGAGCAGGACAATATCCACAAAGTGATGCTTCGTATTTTCGTATTTTTGTTACAAGGTGATTACTTACCTTGAGAATTTTAAAAAATGATACTGATTAGCTAATACACTATTGTTCTTTGAAGTATTATTCGCCTCTTAATTTCACAACCAATGCATCAGCTGAGAGAGAAATGTTTAAGGAAGCATTTCGAAACACTTAAGTTCTGGTACGGGATGACAATTAAGCAAAACAAAGAAACACTCAGATGGAAAAAACTGTTACTTAATTCAGTAACCTGACTGCTGTCTGTATTTAAAGAAGATATAGCTTCTCGCTGGTGTTCGTCAAAATCTCCCTATACGGCGGTAATACGGACCTTGTACGCGCTTAGTTAGATAAATTTACGTAACGCATGCGTAGGTTATATTATTTAAGACACACAAAAAGGACTGTAAACATTTTTAAACGTATGTAAACGAAAATGTTCATATTTCAGGAGCTAGCCGTTGTCAAGGAAGCAGTAGGTTTAGTATTGATTCTGCGTTGTTAAAGACAATACAATGTATTTGGCTGGCTAAACTATATAAAGCCGCTAATATACTAATAAATCACTATTCGAAACGATTATCGACTAAGTCAATGAATGCTTCTGTTTAGCCATCGCTTTGTTATTATTGACAAACACTTCGCTGACGATTAATAGCCTTAAGCATCGATTAGGATGCGAACACCGCGGGGCCTAAATTCGGATGCTGTTTCAAGAATATTGAAGGGACCTCTAACCCGATTTTTGAAACATTACTACTATCCTACTTCCAGCTAACATGTAAACTAGTTATTTTCAGTCTTTATCTTTATGCATTGTCAGATGCCATTAGAATGTTCCCTGACTCAATTTTGATCTACTTAAAGACAGCTGTATTTAACTTTGGGCAAAACAATTTAACTAGAATAGGCATGAATAAATAATTGCTTTTCCCCGCCACGTGTATCTTGGGAAGAGTGTTATGCAAAAGAATTGACCGCAGGAGTAAACGTGACGGTATTCAGTGGTTATTAGTAGCAGCGATCTAGCCACGTTAGTCAAAGGTAAGGTTCTTTCTTTTTTATTTTTAGACGCTAATTGGTAACAATACACAAATTAGTCATAATAGGGTAACAGAAAACGACGTTTTTAGGAGTTTTTGACGAAAACCTACTGTCCTTTCTTATGAACACAGAGTTTGGTAGCTTGCTCACTCGTTTAATTTGTACTAGGCAATCACCAATTTTGCCATGTAGTGTTAATTTATAACACCACCCGGCCAGCTCAAACTGGGCTTTTTTGACAGGCCTGTATTCTAGGGTACGCCTTACATTGCTTTCAACTCTTACATTGCCTTTTAAACTGAACACCGGTCTTCGACACTGGTCTTCGACCTTGAAGTGAAATTTATTGACTCATTTATCTCAAAATAAAAGGACGATACAACCTGGTCCGCCTGTAGACATTTCCTGTGTTCAACATGGCCAACTGGCTGGGCAGTTTTGTTTTGATACAACGACTAAAGTTAATAAATGAACTCTAAAATTATGGCGTCGTACTTTGCTAACGACTTATCTCTCAAGTCAACATATTTGTTCATTAATGTGGTACGTTTTGTTATTGTCAAAATATTTGATCCATAACGCTCAGTTCAATCTCATGTCTGCCTGAAAACTACACTAATCACAACTCTACACTAATCACAAGCTCTGTGGAAAGTGAATCACATGAAAATGAGTAGTAAAGAAACTTGACCTCTTTTTGAAATAATTAAATCATTTTTATGGAAAGTTTGTGTCCAAAAAGTGCCTAAGTTAAATTTGCTTGTTAATGGAATTTTAATACGAGAATTACTTGTCTGAATAGTATTTGAATTTATAGCTTTCTTGGGCGTAAATTTCACATGAATATCAACGCTAACGTCGACGTTTCCATGTCATCGAGACATCACTATCAAGTTACAAATATAATAACGTTAAGTTTTGCCGATATCACTTTACAGGCGAGGCGAGAATAGTTTGGTGAGTTAAATAGCTTAGTTTTGAAGCGCTGTGATAGCACGTTATGGGGGGTTCGAAAATGATGAAGGAAATGCAGGAATCTGTAAGGATCCGCGAATAACTCGTCGAGAGGCGAACGATCGATCTGGTTGCTAGGAATCAATAACACCGCCCAAGACTGCTCGCGTTAATGTATATCTTATCCGGCCGGTTCTCAAGTGTGAGGCAGCTACGAGAACTGTTACAACTAAGGGATGGTAGTCTATCACAGTTTAACCCCTGTTTGGCTGTTGCAGGTCGTTGGTCTCCATGTACATTTCTGAGCGGAGTTAAATATCCCATCTAAGAACTGAAAACAAGCGTTAATGATTTTGCTTTTGGTCCCCTGCTTGCAAATGAGTTACTTTCCCAATTTTTATTATTAGTCTTATTAGGTTCGCGTTGTTTGCACCTCAACAAGAGAGGATAAATGGTAACGCCGGAGTTCATACCCCATATAGCTAGGCTATATTCGCAAGGTACTCTCTCTCAAGATTTTCCTAGATATGGTATGAAATTCTCTCGAGAATAATGTTACCACGCAGGTTTCATAGATGTAATCGTGGAGGATAAAAGTGCGCGCGCGTGCAGTCGCCTGGACTGCCCATATGAGTAAATTCGCGCCAAAGGATTGTATCATCAACTTCTAGATCTTCCTAGGATTTCTGAAGCCGAGAGTGATATAAAAAAAAACTTGAGAGGGATTACTTTGGGAATAAGGCCTATATGGGGGATTAACTGTCTTACTCTTCATCCTCTCATGATCTCGAAATTCACTTCCTAGTATTCGTATCAGTTTTAGTAATAGTTACGACCTAATTATACTTTTGGTTCGTTAATTTCTCTCCCACCATTCCGATCCACTGTTCTAGTGGGTGGAGAGGTTATAGTCATAGATTAAGCTGCTCGTCCGTCGACTTTTGGAAAGGGTTGACTAGTGTTTGATTTCAATAAAGTTTCTCTCTGTGCTAAGAAAAGACCTCGGTGTCATTTATTTATCCGTTTGATTGCTTGAGCGCAAATCTAGACTGCTACACTCAGAGTAACGTTAAAAATCAACACATGGGTATTTTTCTCTTCAAAAGGTGCGGCCTATTGTTTAAATTAGTGGCCATGTTTTAGTTTATTCAGAACAAGCCCGTTGGTGAACCAATAGCAGACAACTGTTTATTTGATGCCACGTCATGTCAATTCATGTGTGGTTAAAACAGTGAGAAATAATCATCTCAATCTACAAACAGTTAAAACAGATAACAGTGCTATTGTTAGCAGTAAGCCACTTTAGACAAAGGTAAGTCGTTTTAGGTCATCTAAAATACCAAAATCAATGTTTCATGACAAAGAAACTTTTTTTTTTTCGCTACTTTTTAATTCTACTTACCGCCTTTCAACTGCTTGCCTTTAAATCCAGGCTGATTTCAAACTGAAATGTGCGTAATTTACTGAGGATTTAAAAAATAAAGAAAGAACAAAAGTCAAATAAAAAAACTTAAAATTATAGTTGGTAGTTTCTGTAGTTCTATGACCTGCGTGTCCGGACAACCCGCCCCGGTCTACATGTTAGCTGACCCTTACTCATTGTTATTTTATAATTGAGTTTTAGGGGAAACGTATAACTACATACTTACCATCACTAGAGAGCTAAAACATTCAAGTTTCACGTAACAAGAAGAAGTTAGAAGAGTTACTGCTAGTGTATTTTGAAATAGATTTCTTCGCAATTCATTCAAACACACTCAAACAAAAGCCAGCTGTTAAAGAATTTAAGAATGTTCTCGCTATGAAGATGATTAATGACCAAATGCTGTTAGCGCAGGGGCAATGCAAAGAAGAATTTTCCCGGAAATAAATCGCAAATTTCATTGAATCCAGTGAAAAGAGGCTTTATTGTGAGCCAGAATCTATTAAGGTGGCCGAACACAGTTTTCGCGCGCGCTCTTGCTAATGCAATTCAGCGCGCGCACAAGGATTGAAAAAATTAAACATGGCGTCAACACAGCGATCATTTTATTTGCTCAACGCCCGCACTATCTGTGCTTTTTTTCTTCATAATTGAACACAGTGTATTGGTGGTTTTAGTCTTTTATTACAAAGGTATGTTAGAAAAGGTAACGATGCAAAGAACCCAGCAATTCTCAGCTTTTCCTTTGTTACCAAAAAAACCTAGTTAAATGCAGCGCATGCATAGTAAGTCGAAAAAATGCGATTGAATGCGGAATAGCTTTCTCGGAAATACGGCTATTTCTCGAGAACCACTCATTAGAATTCCACGAAATTTAACCCAAAAACAAAGGAAATTCTAGATATTCCAGTGAACCTTCAACAAGGGATTATTAAAGATCACTCTGTTAACTTATTATGAAAATAGTGTTAACTTGTGGGCATAGTTACAAGCTTGTTGCATGCAAACTATAAAGAAAATCTAATGACTTGATTTTCTGCAAATAAGCAAAACCCATTTTAAAGGCCTGTTTATATTTATTCTTGTCGCCATAGCAACGGAACATACGTCAACTTAACTATCAAAAAACCGAAGTTTGTGTTGTTAACTCTCTTGCTGCCATTTTTGGCGACCAAAGGATCAAGGGTTTTGGAAAAAAAAAAGGTGAATGAAACACAGGTATCAAAAATTGTGTTCAGCCAACTTAAGAACGAGGCATGATTGAAAACCCTTTTACCACAGTTTAACTAAAATCCGCGTTAAGTTCGTTTCTCGGCAGTGATTCGCCTTCAATTTACATGGAAACTTGGACAGTCCCGTTTTCACTTTCTCACTATCATAAAATAATTAACAGAAATAGGGGTCAAGACCACTGACTGTTCACGGTAATAAAGAGATCTTCAGGTATGCAAACCCTCCTTTCACGCGGAGAATTCTGTAACCACAATTTTTGTATTGCCAAATTTTCGTAGCTAACATTTATAAAAGACGACACACCGTTTAAATTTGCAAGACATGTTTCGGATACTCAGTATCCATCTTCAGTTAAATTAAAGGATGTTTACAAGTGAGTGACTTTATATAAAGTAGGTAACAAGTAGGTGTAATCTACAAACGCAATGTAAAATCAAAATCATCGCTAAGAAGTACTGTAAGGATTTACATTAGGTTAGCCTTCTCTTCCTGTAAGTTAAGTAACATGTTCAGTGTGAAGGACTCGATTCCCAATACGCTCCGTCCCCAAATTTAAATGTGCAGGATGTCATACCTGTTATGTCGGTGAAACCACTAGACATTTTGGCACCAACGTTCGTTAGCACTTACTCTCGGATCGCAATTCCCATATCTATAAACATTTTCGGGGTTCTGAGTCATGTAAGAATCTATGCTCTTTTAATTGTTTTTCCATCTTAGACTCGGCTCCCGGCTCTTACTAATTTCCAAGAAGCCCTTCATATTGAATGGGAACGACCCGCATTGAATAAACAACTCAAACATGTTAATTTAACACTCTTACTTTAATTACTAGTTGTATTCAGCATTTTTCACAGTTTTGTATTCGCACCTTTTTATTCTCCCACTCTGTTGTATCCCTTAAGTATTATGTAACTCTTTCACTGATTTGTAACTATTATTCTACATTTTGTAATTTACGCCTACTTGTTACCTACTTTATATAAAGTCACTCACTTGTAAACATCCTTTAACTGAAAATGGATACTGAGTATCCGAAACATGTCTTGCAAATTTAAAC